GATAGATAGATAGATAGATAGATAGATAGATAGATAGATAGATAGATAGATAGATAGATAGATAGATAGATAGATAGATAGATAGATAGATATCTGATACACTTTCTTTTGTGGAATGACTTCATTTGCAGAGAAATTTGTGACATGAAACTGTAAAAATTTGTTTCAATATATTTTGGTACCTTAATCTTTTTAACCAGTTTATTTTCTTCTTCATCATCTGTTTCTGGGAATTCATATATTTTAATTTTGTGCTCTTGGATTTCTTTCATTATCTAAAAATAAACATATTTTTAAAAGGAACTGTAACAAGGGTTGAATAAATTAATAAAGTATGCTGATAAATTTTATTTTTATGTATAAAAAATGAACACCACAAATTTATGTCAGAATATAAATACTTCTATAATTACAATGTCTTTTGAAATTCAGATTATGTGTTTGTCATTTTTTAGATAAAGTTGTACTTTTCTCTTTTCCCTTTCCCAAAGTCAGCATACTTTCACTCATTCCAATTCCTACAATATAGTAATAAACTGCTCTGTTACTTCATAGTTCCTAATATAGGATCATTGGAGATTTTAATATTGTCATAATTTTAAGAATAGACTGTAAGCATCCAAACTGATAGGTTTCACAATTGTTTCAAAATCTATGCAACAATTCTGATCTTACATGTATGATGTTATTTGCAGTACATTCCTTATGTGTCTAAATTACTAGATTTATATCTATTTTTTAATTCAGAAAACTATATAACATTAAATTTAAGTTTCCATTCTGACAGGTAATCGTAGTCATCCTTACAGAAACCTCAAATGCTATATATTATTTTTCAAATCACAAATATACGATCTCCTACAACAGGCATTATAAGAGTAATGTGTATTATTGAATACATATTGGCTAACCTGCCATTTTATGCAAACATGGCAAATTTTCAAACAAAGTTAATTGTAATTGGTAATTATGCATTCCTTTATGTCTGTATAGGTATGCATCTATGTCTATGTGTGTCTGACAGAGGGAGGGAGGGAGGGAGGGAGGGAAGGAGGGAAGAAGGGAGGGAGAGAGGGAGGGAGAGAGATTGTGTATATGTGTTGTGAAGAATTCTTATATTTTAATTATTTATTTGGTGCTATAACATCAGTATATAGGTAGCTTTGACTTATGATCACAGTTGGATCCAGAATTTCAGTTGTTAGGTGATATGATCATTAAATAAATCATATGACCAGGTCCAATTTTATATGACCATTTTTACCCTGATCATTAAGTGAATCTCATCATTATGGTCATTAAATGATTCAATATGCTTGGATAGTTTGAATGATCATGTCAGAAAGGTTCTGTTTCCTCAGGAGGTCCCCCTCAAGTGCCAGACGGCTAGTTGCAGCCACTGGGGATCCGGATGGTAGACCACCCCTTGGCTGAGAGAGGTTTGCTCCTGAGGAATTCTCCATGGTTTCTGGATGGAGAGGCTGACAAGATCCGCGTACCAGGACTGCCTGGGCCAGTGAGGTGCCACAAGTATGATCTCCGCTTCCTCCGCTAGCAGTTTGGACACAACTTGCGGAATGAGCGGGAGAAATGCGTACAGTAGTCCTGGGGGCCATTTGCACCTCAGTGCATCCGTCCCCTCCGCCCAGGTTGAGTGGTAGCGGGAGTAGAATCGTGGCAGGTGTGTGTTGGCATGTGTGGCAAATAGGTCTATTTGAGGTTTGCCGAATCTCCGCATGATCTGTTCGAAGAGGTCCGGGTGCAGACGTCACTCTGAGTTGTTGATCATCTGCTGATTCAGCCAATCTGCCTTCTGGTTGCTGGTCCCAGATATGTGGTCCGCTCTGATGGACGCTAGATGGCGTTCTGCCCACCTGCCCATGGACTCTGCCTCCATCATGAGTCTCCTGGAAAGGGTGCCGCCTTGTCTGTTTATGTGGGCCTTTGTTGCTACATTGTCTGTTAGTACATGTTGGCCCACAATCAGTGATGAGAACTGACGTAATGTGAGTCAGGCCGCTCTCAGTTCCAGCCGTGGGAAGATTCTCTCTGGGTCCACAGTCCCTGAGTGAGCTGGCCCTGACAATGCGCCCCCATCTGAGAAGGCTGGCATTGGAGGTCACCACAATTCTTTCAGGTTCCTTGAACAGGCACCCTTTCTTGACTGCCGCTGTTCTCCACCAAGATAGAGAGCGAATCACCGTCTGAGGCAGCCGTATGCCTCTGTGTGAATTGCTGGCTCTTGCCTTTTGCATTGGCAGGAGAAACCACTGTAGTTCCCTGGCGTGGAGTCATGCCCAGGGAACTACCTTCAGGCATGAGATCATAATGCTGAGGAGTTGTGACAGTTTGATGATCGGCACTGACCTGGACAGCCTGCATTGATGCACTCTGCTCCGGAGATTTTTCAGCCGGTCCGGCGACAGGAATACCTGGCAAGAGATCGAGTCCATGATGATGCCCAGTTGTTGGATGTGTGTGGTTGGCTCGAGATGGCTTTTCTTCAGGTTTACCAAAAAGCCGTATCGTTGAAGAGTTCGTATGATCACCCGGACGTCCCGTCAGGCCTGGTCTCGGTTTGAGGAGTGAATGAGGATGTCGTCTAGATAGTATTCTAGACGAATCGGCCTGTTCCGGAGGTGGGCCGCCACCACTGCAAGGAGCTTTGTGAACGTCCTGGGTGCAGACGAGACCGAAGGAGTGAGCCCTGTACTGGTAATGCCTCCCATCGAAGTAGAATCTCAGGAACCTTCTGTGAGCTGCATGGATGGGAACGTGCAAGTATGCCTTCTTTAAATCTATTGAGGTGAGAAGGCCTCCCTGTCTTATGCAATCCAGGATGGAGTGGAGGGATTGCATCTTGAATCGTTTGTAGGCCAGATGCTGATTTGGGTGCTTCAGATCCAAGATGGCCCTCCACCCCCGAGCTCTTCGGGACCAGGAACAGGATGGAATAAAATCCCTGCTTTTCCTGATCCTTTGGCACAGGTTCTATGGCCCTTATTTGGAGAAGGTGGTGAATCTCTGCCTGCATGAGATCTATTTTTAGGGAATTCTTGGGAGTTGGACAACGAATGAACCTTCTCTCAGGGAAGGAGAGAAACTCCAGGAGTAGGCCCCTCCTGATCGTGTTGAGAACCCACGAGTCCGTGGTGATTTCCCCCCTCCTGTCAGCGTAAGGGGGGGGGAGCCCTGTGATGGTCACTTTCCGCGATGGAATTGGCAGGAGTTGGATCCGCCACAAAATGGCTTCCAAAAGCAATGCTGCTACTGCCTATCCCGTGCTCCAAACGAGCTCCTGTCTTGGCCCCTATCGCCTGTCTGGGGGTAGGGTCTATGGTAGAAAGATGAGGTGGAAGGCTGAGCGGGCTCCTGTGCTCGAAAGGGTTGCCTTCTAAATGAGCCGGAGCCCTTACGCTCAGATTTCTTTAAGGTGGCCGGAAGGATCTTACGTTTGTCTTTCGTCTCAATGACGAATTTGTCTAGAGCGTCCCCAAGAGTTGACCTCCTTTGAAGGGGGCGGAAGCAAGCTTCCACTTAGCCTTCATGTCCGCCTGCCAGTGGCGAAGCCACAGCAAGTGGCGAGATGTAATATTGGATGCCAGCATGCGAATTTGGCCGCATTCAAGGAGGTGTCAACTGAGTACTCTACTGCGGTGATCATTTTGCTGAGGCCGTGACACCACCGAGATCCCCCAGAAGGAGGTTTGGATCTCAGCTGTCTCAACCAGAGAAGAGATGCTCTCGTGAAAAATGAGGCAGAGGTGGATGCCCTGATGGCCCAGGCAGCCGCCTGGTGAGTCTTATGGCACGCCTTTTCAGATTTTTTGTCTTCTGCCTTGAGACCTTCCAGAAGGTCTGCTGGCAGGTTCAAATTGATGTTAAGGAGACCACCGGAGCATCCACCTCAGGAAGCTTCAGGACCTCCTCCATCCTGTTTTCTACAGTGTAAAGAGTTTTATCCCCTCCGCTAGGATTGGTCAAGGTACCGGATTGAACCCACTGTCTTTGGACTACGTCCATGAATAAATCTGGAACTGGGATCAACTCCTGAGTAGGAGCCGTCTCCTTGAACAGGCCTTCCTTGGGATCCTTAGCAGATGAGAGACTTGTGGTCGCACTCTTAGGAGTAGCCCCTAACTCTGTGGCCACCTTGGCCTTGTAAAGGATAGACTTGAAGAGGGAGGGCCTAAAAGTCCTGTAAAGGCCAGTTTATCGGGAGGAAGATCTTCATCCTCCGATAATTCAAATTCTTCAGCCTCCTCCTCCTCCCAGACTGATTCCTCCATGGCAACTGAGGTGCCTGGAGAGACTGGGGCCTGGCCTGGGGTCTATTTAGGTTTGGAAGACCCAACCTTGCAGGCCTCCCTCTGCTTGATGCCCTCGGCTATGCCCTGGGAGATGGCTAGCATAATTATTTATCTCATCTCCGCCCGACAGGGCTGGCCCCCTGTCCTCCCTAGGGCAAGATCTGGCCAAAGCACAACGGCTTCTGCTCTCACTCGAATTGGTGCCTTCCTCCGCTGGGAGGATGCCCTGGAAAGGTTCCAGCTCTTCCCTGAGAGATGAGCTGGGCAATTCAGGGTAACCCCAGGAGGCATCGGGAGAGGACTCCCTCGAAATGTCTCCTGCTGACAAGGGAGACCTGTTCCCCTAGGGTGAAACAGGCTCCCTCCCCTCCCTCGGCCCGGAGGGGGGGGCTGATGATGTCTCTACCCAGTCAGAGGATGTATCTTGCCCTTGCGGCCGCGGGAATCTTATCTCCGCAGGCTTGTGTTTTCGGGACCCCTCCGTGGGTTTTTCATTGTTCCCTGCGGGTCCCGGGGAGGCTTTTTTGTGGTGCCCTTCCCTCCCTCCCAGTCTACTGCGTTTGGTGGAGGGCCCTGCCGGCACCTCCTATGCCTCCAAACCTCCATCTGCCATGATGCCCTGCAGTCTTGCGAGGAATTCAGAAACAGCAGGCCGAGATTGCCAGTAGACAGGCACCCGGCATGAGCCAGCTGGCTGCAAGTGCCCGCAGATCAACTCTGGAGGCGAGGGACGCCCGGGGGACAGAACCATTCCTCAGGCCACCCTCAGAACTCTGAGCAGTGGGAAGTGGAATGTGGACCTTGCCGGAGCCCCGGACAAGGCCCAACGCTTCCAGGCGGTGATCTGCTGCTGAGAGAACTGAGCGTTGGTGATAGGCCTTCACGCGGCTCCAAACGGCTCTGAGTCACCATTTTCTTTTGCTAAAAATGGCCGCCGCTGCGTGTGCCGCTCGTGGTCTCTGAGCGATGTCCGCAAGAGAAAGTGCGCGAAGGCTCTAAACTGGCTGCCGCTGTTTCCCGTCAGAATTGAGCACCGCCAACGCCGATGGAACTTGTAAAGCACTCCATATGGCGCTCTTAGACCTGGCAGTTGGGAAAATTCAGCCAGGAAGCCTCCCACTGCCCCCTTGCTCGCCAGCAGCCAACGGACAAGCAACTCACGCTTCCGCTCCACTTGTGACCAGCGGGAGCCAGCAGTCCCAGCAACTCTCTCAGCCTTAAATTAACAGCGTTAGTTCTCCGAATAACCGTCAATATCTTTCCAAAAGGTACTAGTAACAATTTCAAATTTACTGAGGTTGGGGAGTCCAGCTATCTGTTCTAGGACTGAGGAACTCCCCAGAATTAGTCCTAGTGGCCGGACTGAGTTTTTAAACTCAAGGAGGCAAAGGGAGGCGTGGTCAAGAAAAATACACTCAGTCCTAGGGCAGATAGATTGTGTTAACCCATGCTAGGACTCTCCAAGCAGCGCACAGGAGAGCAGCAAACTTGCAAAGTTGTGGATGATACTAAAATAATCATAATATCAAAATCAAGCAAGAGATGTTAAGATCTCTTTACACTGTGTGACTAATTATATGCAAATGCATGAAAAAAGATACATGATTGGGTGAAACCCTCCTAACTTTATATACACAGTATTAGAATCTGAATTGTTTATATCTCACACAGAAAAAGATTCAGAGGGGATAACACAATGGAGATGCTGGGTGAGGATTCAGCAGCTCAAAATAGGAATACAACAGAACTAGAGAAGCGTAAGAGGACAAGTAAAATGATATGGGGTTTGAACATCTTCCATATGAGAAAAGGCTAGGAGGCTCTTTGGAAATAAAGTAGCTGAGGAAAGATATTATTGAGGTATATAAAAATAGACATGTCTGAGAAAAATATAAGTTCCAGGGGCCATCCAATGAGCTGAGTGAATTTCTTCAAATAATCCTTCTGTGGAACATATTATCATAAGATGTGGTGATGTTCACTAACTTGAACAGCTTTAAAAGAGGATTGGATAAATTTATGAAAAATAGGCTTAACAAGGGTTAATAATCTTGAAGACTCAACATTAATTCCAAGTAGGAAATAACAGGTCTCTAAATATAAAATCCAAGGGAACAGAAATTAGAGAAGCACATATGTCTAACTTCTGCTTGTCACCACCTTGGAACCATCTGTTTGGCCATTCTATATAAAATGCTGGATTAAGATGGGCTTTGGCTGCATCTGGCAAAATTGTTCTTATGCATGTAATTGTGAAACTAAGGAGAAAAATATAATTATATTAAAAGAAAAAAAAGAAAATTACCTGTTTTTTAAACTGTTGACATTCTTCAGGTGTGAGTGTGTCGGCCTTGGCAATGAGCGGGATTATGTTCACTTTTTCATGCAGGCGTTTCATGAACTCAATATCCAAAGGCTTAAGCCTAAAATAAATAAAAATTAAAAAATTGAAAATGAGATTTTGCAAATTTGGCTTCCAAACAAAATGTGACCCATGTACAGTACAGAAAGTAAAATATAGATAGAACGTGAGTTATGACTGTAATGGAATCTGCTCATTAGGGTTCAAAGTAGGGACAAACACTAAATGAACTGCCTCATGTAATGGCCAGTCATCCCTGCTCTTCCCACTGCATTAATTAATCAAATGTGTGTGTTACTATGTAGAGCACGAGGTGCCTCAGCGACGAGGGAGATCCTGAGAGGCCTAGTGAAGGCAAAGCCCTCTGCGTCAGACCTCTCAAAGCCTCCCCCATTCCAAGATGCACCATGCTCCATTCAGGGGTTGCTACATGCACCTGCTGCACAGCTGTCTTACCAACAAGAAACACTAGCTGTGCCTGCCCATCGTGGTTCTGCCACTGCCTTTCCTCCTGCCAAGGTGTCCCTGCCTTTCTGGGGCAAAAGGATTAGTTTCCCACCTTTTCAGAGCTTTCTGTCCTGATCAGCTGGCCACCAATCCTTCGGAAGACTATAAATTTCTCCTGGCTCTTACTAGCCTTTGGGAAACCAGACCCTACATGATAAGGTAGCAGCTTCAGCATTAGCTTCACAAAAACTTTCCCTTGCTACAAACCCTCTTCCTCTTCCAGAAAGCCACATTTTTCAGTAAAAAGCTGGGAGGAACAGCTTTCTTGTTCTCCCATTTCCCCAATTAGGTGTTAAAAGTAAAGTCCTCACCTCTTCCCTCCAGAGTCTACCCTTTTTAAAAACCTTACCTTGACTCCAGGCTGACAAGGAAGAAAGCAAGCAAAAAACTATCCAGCCTTCTGCCTTGAGCAGCTGCAGAAATAAAACTCAGCTCAGAAAGTTTAGCAAGGGCACCCCCACCACAAAAAAAATCCAAACAAACTTGGACAAAATCTGGGTCATAAAATTTTTAGCTGAGTGTCTGAATTCTGTAGGACCCAGCTATGACTCTAAAAATCAAGATCAAGAAGTCTGTCCCGCCCAGCTTTTTTTTTTCACTGAAGAAATGTGGCTTTCTGGGGGAGGGAGAAGGTTAAAGCAAAGGAAGCTCATCCTATCTTAGCATGCAGGGCCTGGTTTCCCAAAATCTAGCAAAAGCTAGGAGAAGTTTGAAAGTTCTTGAAGACCAGCTGATCAGGGCAAAGAGCTCCAAAAGCAGCTGTCATTTTCTATAAGGAATTACAGGACTACTGAAAATGGCAGCTGCTGCTAGGAAACATGAGGAATAAGCCCAAATGGTGTGGGGTGGTGCTGGAGCAGGATGGGGGAAGGAAGGTAGCGGCACTGCAGCATCCCCCTAGTCAGTGGTAATGATGAATGACCTAGGGGCCCTGCAGCCATCCTAACTTTGAAACAAGGCCTCAGGTGCAGTAAGCAGTTTTGGGGTAATTGTCATAACTTTCAATTTTTAATAATTCATCTCTCATATCTGGAGGACTACTGTAATTGCATCTGCCTTGCAAATATGTATACAATAAAACTTCTACACTAAAAGATGTATGCTTCTGAAAATGATTCAGAATTTCAAAACTCGCACAAGCAAAGTTCCTTTCTACTGCTAAGTAATAGATATATTTCAAGCTTGCAGCTCTATTTAAGGTACACTTGTTAGAGAAGAGGAAGCTATGTGAACTTTTCAAATATTTATATCTATTATCATTTGAGAATTAGGGCAATATTTACCACTGCTTTCAAAAACAAAGTGCTTTATAAAAAATTACCAGTACCTCAAATTATAATTTATAAATATTTGATAAAAAGCAATTCAAAGCATTGGCACAAATTGAGTCCATTAAATAACCTAATCTAAAATGTCAACATATATTTAAGTAATCATCTTTTATTGTGATACTGTAAATAAAGCATGGAAAACTATTTTCAATTTAACCAATTGGAAAAATCCAAAGTATAAAACTAGTAACACATAATCCCAATTCTTGCTCTTCTGGATTCTTTAAAAATAGAAGGAAAACTATTTAAGTTCCTTACAATTTCTAAGTTTAAATGTTTCTGAGTGGAGAAATTGCATGGTAGGAGCAAAACATTAATTAACATTAATGTTTAATACTGACCCATGTCCTGAAGGAGCAATGAAATATAAACAACACTGGACCCTGTTATCTGGCATCTGTCGTCTGTTCACACGTGATTCTGCATTAAGATAGTCTTCAAATTTACTGTCAATGTAATCAATAACGGGCTGCCAGCTGCAATGTACAAACACATTTTTTTAAAAACAGATTAACTTGGAAAATTTTCTATATTAGTACAAGTTGCACATCATAATATTAAAAATGACATGTAAATATCACAAATATAATTTTCCTAAAGAAATTTAGTTAGGTTGCTGTATGAGAAAAGCAATGCCCATTCTTATATATGAAACAAGAGCAACAAGAAGAAGTTTTAGTAGTAAAAGGAAGAGTTATAGAAATGGTATGAGGGAACACAACCATACTTCCCAAAGCTATTTGGTAAATAGTCTTTATCAAATTTCATTTATTATTAACTATCTACAATAATTAACAGATTGAATATTTATTTATTCATTACATTAATATTAAATTAATTTTATAATAACCAAGGACATATTCTTGACATCAGAAAATGTATCTTATAGTTTATCAATGGTACTTAATCTTTTGACTTTTCTCAGTAATAACCAAATAATATTTAACTCTGAGCTAATCACAGAGAAACAAGACATACTAATATTCAAACACATAGAAACAAGACAGTTTGATAACTACATTTGGCAAATTATGTTTTATGTAATTTTTGGCCAAGAGAACTGCAGTAAGAGTGCCTTACAAAGAAAAAAACTTATTCTACTTTAAATATATGCAAGTATTGCAAGATAATAGCCATTACTAATATTAGAATGTTCTTACCAATTGCTATTATCCACTGCATCACCAAATCCTGGTGTATCAACTATTGTTAGTAGCAACTGCACACCACCTTCTTTAATTAGAACCTTAGACTGCTCAACCTGAGAAAAAATAAAAAAAGATAACTAATGCATCTACATTAAATATTAATGGTGCTTTGCTAATAAAAACTTTGAATAATTTAAGAATTTTTAAAAAGAAAATATTACAGGTCAACTGCTCCTAAAAATGTTGTTTAAAATATGACCATATATGTTATTGTTATGTATGCCAAATTGCTTTTCTATAAATGGAGTAATTCTTTTGATTCAGGGAAAAACTTTGATTCAGTAGAGAATCCTTTTACTGGCAGGAGAGGATGAAGCATTAATAAAAAGCATCTTCCCAACTCTTCAGGAAAGGCTGAATGAGTACACAAGAAGAAACGGAACAAAAATATTTTTTATTTTCTTCTTGAAAAAGTATCCTACATGTAGAGTTCTGGTCATATCAGTTGAGAATCCAAATCATGTATTTTTTTCTCTATTCATATTTCTTTGCTCAATTTGTTTTTCCAACTCTGGAAAAAATGTTTTATGACATAAAAAAAATAAATGGTTTAACAGCAGAAACCAAAATTGAGATAGGTTTTCAATGCCTCTGCTTAACAGAGGGCTTTTGGAGAGCTTTAGTTGGTTCATGTACTACAATTAGGCCATGTTGTTATAATAGTCTGAATGTCATCTCAGAAAGCATCAACAGGCATCAACAGGCGCATAGAGATAAGTAATATCTACATACCATTCCACAGCTGATCAAAATGTCAGAAAGGAAACAGAAAGACCAAAACAGCTCAATTTACATTAGTGATTATTTTTATTTTGTACTACATCATTACCTAGACATGTCCTAGATATTTTATTTTAAGCTGCTGCAGCTTTAATAAATATATTGTTGTTGATGATTGTATTTCCTTTACAATTAGAATTTTTTATTTAAAACCTCTTAAGACTTAGCTTCAAGATTATATGAATATAATATGCAGTAAATATTCAAGCTAAATTCATTTGTACATTCTATTTGGTCAATTTTTTCTTTAAAAGAAAAAGTAAATGACCATACAAGGACAAATTCTCATAATGCACTATTTGTTGGAAGCCAGCCAGAAAGCTATTGTAAATAGCATCAATCCTCATTACAACTTCAAATGAATCCTATTTAGTTTTAGAACTACTCCGTGGGGATTTAGGAAAAATAATTTAGCTCCAATCTTAGAATGCAATTTTTTTCACAGTAAGGTTATTTTCCCATGCACTCTTATTTTAAATAAACATGAATCAGATTCACAGACCATGTCAGATTTATAAACTTAAAGTTCTCTTATTCTTTAGAAGTTGTCTATTTGATGTATTTTATGAACAGCTTTCTGTTATTTCTGTTTCATGGGAAGCAGAGATATTTAAAGTGATTTAATTTTAACCCAACACATTTAATGTATAAAAGTGTGAATCCTTCCATGCATAATCTAAAATAGTCTAAGTATTTCAACTACTGTGTTTCCCTGAAAATACGACTTACCCTGAAAATAAATCCTAGCCTGATTTTTGGGGTAGGCCTAATATAAGCCGTACCCCAAAAATAAGGCCTAGTGAAAGAGTGGGCATGGCCAGCACAGGAGGCAACATTTCCCTTCCCTGGGCACCTGACGGCAGCTTGGCCCCTAATTGCAGCCCATGAGGGTTGGGAATGCCTCTCGTTCTATCTTTCTAGGCACCTGGAGGTGTTTCTGGCACACTCGTGCTAGCCCCAACCCTGCCCACAATGCCAGGCAACCTCGCAGCTGAGGGCCTCTCTCTTTTGCAACTTAACTTGTGGTTCTGAAGCAAGGGTGACCACAGTTTGTGCTCTGCCAGGCCTGGAGCTCGGATCTTACTCAGGCTGCTGCTACGATGAGGCAGAAAGGGCGTTGGAATTGGTTCCCCTCCCCGCCCGGCTGCTGGATCTGCTACTCCTTGCTTCATGGGGCCTCATTGCCCTCCTGGCTGGGCTGCTCTCACCCATCTGGCTGGGCTGCTCCTGCCTGGTGTGGGGCAATTCGGTCCAGATCTCCAAAGCACCTCCCCCACAGCTGCCTGCCAGTGCCCCCTTCATCAGCAGTCACGCTGCCCTGTGCGAGCTGTGTGGCGGCCCTGCAGCAGGATGGAGGAGGGAGATCGCCCCTTCCTCCTTTGCACCTCAAAACCCCATCTTCCCTGGTTGTCAAGCCCTTAGCCTGCACTCCTTGCTGGAGCAAGACATGGAAAACAATGTTACCTGTGGAGGCCTCCCACTGCAATGCTCTGCCACAGCTTCGGAGCATCTGGTTTGAGCTCAAGGCTGTGCTTCTTGAAGCCAGCGGCAGGAGCACACCTGCAGATCAGATCAGCTGTTTCACAGAGGCACAAGGCACATGGAGCGCCTCACTTGGCCTCCTGACCAAGTTGCTGGTAAGGAAAGACTGTTCTTGAAGGGGGCATGAGATGTGTGGAGCCTCCTGCTGCTTTTGTAGCCTCAATCAGCTGCAAAAGCAGCCACGCTTCTTGGAGGAAGAGGCAGGAGTGCACCTGCAGATCAGCTGTTCCAACCACCAAGCTGTTGGTATGACAGGGAAGGAGGCACAAGTGGACCTCCCAAAAAATAAGACTTGGTGCCTTTTTGGGGGGGGCAAAAATATAAGACCCGGTCTTATTTTCGGGGAAACACAGTAGTAGCAAGATAATTAAACATTACATTTAAGAATTTAAAAATTCTTAAACCTAAAATTTACATAATTACAAATGATTAATTTTAAACATGGTAGCATATTAGTATCAATAAATAAAAGCCACATATACAAAGATGCTAAAATGTTATTTCAAGCTAACTATAAAGCTATAAAGAAACTGAAAACAGTAATATTATTCTAGCCAAATAGGTTAAAATAAGATTAGTAGACTAAATGCAGTAACAATTTTTGCTTAGACATTTGAGTCTTTGTAAACTTGAAAGAATACATTTATCAGGATTGTCTGTTAGTAATTGCTTCTTTGAATTCTTCTACATTCATGTTTATATTGTCATCAACAATAACATCAGGGTGCTTTGTTTTCTGTCACTCTCTTTTTCATTAGCTTCAATTTCCCAGACATTAGGCTTTTCTCCTTCAATTAGTCCTTGCCTTCATATTACATGTCTTAAATATTAAAGCATTAATGTCTATGGAGATTCTCAGTCATCTAGGTCATGGTAGTCCCAAAGGTGCTTTTTTCAAGAGGCAACTGGACTTTCTGGTTTTTCTTTGAAGATGTTTTGCTTCTCATCCAAGAAGCTTCTTCAGCTCTGACTGGATGGTGGAGAATAGAAAGTTCAACAACTTCAAAGAACCAGAAAGTTTAGTTGCTTCTTGAAAAAAGCACCTTTGGGATTTAAGCATTAACTTTCTTTATTACAATATTTCAAGTAAGCAATTTGGTTTTAGTTTATTTTGCACTCAATGATTTCTTTTTACACTTAAGATTCAGAATTTTCTCAGCACTGCAATTCAAAGACATCCATTTTTATTCATTTAGCCTTTCTAATGATTCAGCTTTCACAGGCATAGTTTATAGATGCAAACATTATGGCCTTAAATTTTCATGTTAAGTGTGATATTTCTGCAGTGCGTATAGTATGACTACATATGTTGTAGTCTTTCTTTCAAGCACTGGTATCTTCTATTTCAGTTTTCAGTTGTCATCCTTATGAATGTTTTGAGCATTATGAGGGCTCTGCCTGTTAACATAATTTTATGGCACACCCTTCTTCATCTTCAACAAGATAAGTCTTCCTCACTTCTGGTCATGCAAGTGGTGGTATTAGCATATCCAAGATACATTTCCATTTTTTCACCCTAATCCAGTGTTCCTTATATTATCTCACATAAGTTAAATGAAGTAACAATCTATTACCCTACATTCCATTCTAACTATTGCTTCCCAGTCAACAAAAATATTCTCAACAGCATGTAAAGTAGTCTTGACTACCCATGGTTTTTTTTGACTATCCATCATCTTCTATTGGTCTATAAACTGCACCCAATTATATTATTTTTACCTTTTTTTCTGCAGCCATTAAGCGGATCACTGGTTGTGATCACATGGTTGTTAAGTGACTCTGACTTCCCCACTGAAAGTAGCAAATGGTGATTATGTGACCCAAGGACACTGCAATAATCATAAATACATGCCAGTTGCCAAAGCATCTAAACTTTGATAATGTTCTCTACAGATGCTGCAACAGTAGCAAGTGCAAAGACTGGTTTTAAGTCACAATTTTCAATGTTGTTGTAACTTCAAATGGTCATCAAAATGAATGGCCATAAGTTTAGGTCTACTAGTACCATGTTTTCCCGAAAATAAGACCCATTCTTATTTTCTTTTGTGCCCCAAAATAAGCACCAGGTCTTATTTTCAGGGGATGTCTTACCCGCTTACCTTAGCCAGGCCTCCCACACCCCAACACTTCTTGCGCTGCTGTTCGACATCTTCTGCATATGCTCACAAACAGAAGCCAAGTAGCACATTACTTTGGTGCTGCCATTCATGGCAGAAGGATGTGTGGTGTGTTGTGCCCTTGCATGAGCAAGTGGCAGTGACGTGATGCGCCACGTGCATTGCCGCAAGTGGCGGCACTGGTTATGATGTGCCATGTGACCTCCTGCCACAAGCGGTGACACAAACTCAGTGAGCACGTGGCCTCCTGCCATAACTGGCAACCCTGGCATGCTGCACCACATGGCACCCTGCTGCAAGCGGCAGCACCGTTGCGATGTGCCACTTGGTATCTGGCTGCAAGTGGCTGCAGAAGAATTCTGGGTGTGGGAAGTCTGGCTGAGGTGGTCCTAAGGCCACCATTTCATCTGCCATGCTTTTTAATACCTACATAAAACTGCTAGGACAGGTCGTTCAGGGATGGGGTCTTACCTAGGGCTTATTTTTGGGATAGGGTTTATATTAGGTACAGACATAAAAGCCAAGCTAGGGGTTATTTTGGGATAGGTCTTATTTTCAGGGGAAAACAGTAATAACTTCCTTAAGGTCATCAGTGTGAGCGTTATCTGCATATTTAGGGTTGGGGAATATCCAGAGGCAAGTACAGTAAAAGACAAGACATGTATTCAGAGTTCTACTCATTACATAGCCTATCAATGAGCGAGTCGCAGTGACATGATGCGCCACATGTATTGCCGCAACTGGTTGTGATGCACCATGTGACCTTCTGCCGCAAGCGGCGCACAAGCACAGTGAGCACGTGGCCTCCTGCCACGAATGGCAGCCCTGGCATGCTGTACCACATGGCATCCTGCTGCAAGTGGCAGCACCGTTGCGATTTGCCACTTGGCATCTGACTGCAAGTGGCTGGAGAAAAATTCTGGGCATGGGAGGCCTGGCTGAGGTGGTCCTAAGGTAAGCGGGTGCAGGCATGTGGGGCAGCTCCACTACCCGCACGCCCACCTAGGGTTGGGGAATATCCAGAAGGCAAGCACAGTAAAAGTCAAGGCATATAGTTGGAGTTCTACTCAGGACATAGCCTACCAAAGTGCACTAACTTGATCTGATCTCACTGACTAGCAAAAAGAATTAGGGACAGGTTGGGTTATAGTGTCCCTTAGGTCACCATTTTATCTTCCATGCTTTTTAATGCCTACATAAAACTGCTAGGACAGGTTGTTCAGGGATATGGGTTGTCATGCCTTCAAGATGACTTCCAGCGCTATTTTGTCTTTTCCCCTTAACACAGGTGAGTGGTCAATGTGTTGAATCAGTGTTGAAAAATATATTAGATTGAAATTTATGGAATTCTCTAGAAAAACTCTACTGATACTCATATTAGCAACATTCTGGCATCTTTCTATTTTCCCAAGCTTTTTAATTGACTTTTAACCGTATTTTAATTCATAACTTTTTATTCTACATATTTTTATTTGACATTTTCCAAACATTAAATTCATAATTTAATGAGTATTAGGTTGCAGCCCAATTTATATATATTTTTATTTTGTACCTGGTTTGATTTTAGCATATTCTCAGATTGCATGTTTTAGTCTGTTTTCTTGAAAATTGCTCAGAGGATTTTGACTATTTTTTAAAAAAAAATTGAACTAATAAATAAAATTAAGGTGTTTCTATTTCAATCTAGCATATAAAAGAATGCAAATATAAGGTATACTTTTTCAAGCAAACCTGTACAGTCTTTTTAATTCTATGTGAAGGTCCTGGGTATTCTGGAGAATACAGGTCTGTCAAGAATAACGAGTTGATTAGTGTTGATTTTCCCAATCCAGATTCACCTACCAAAAACAAAAGTACAATTAGAATTATCACATGACACTCCTATCCTACTCATTAGGATATGTTTTCAAGGTCATTTTATTATATACTTCATGTTATTGCATAATTCATGTTATTTTGCAGTGTTCATAACTATTTTTTATTTTGTAGGTTTCAAATAAAAAACAATATGCATACAATTCTTAATATGATTTTCTTGCAGGGAGTAGTTTCATGCAAATATTTAAGATTTAACATCTAAAATAAAACTTGTGATTTAAATTTAAAATAAATTTATTAAGAAATTATTCACAAAGACAATTTTTCTCTCCTATCTGCATAAAAAGGCATGAATTATAAGATGCTGTTTGGTGTTTCCCAATCTTAGAAACATAAAATGTAGGGAAGTTGAAGATCACATAAAATTACTAACATTGAAAAATGCTATATGAGTAATTTAAATGAATTTTTACATTTACAGGTAATCCTCGCTTAAGGACCATTTGTTTAGTGATTGCTCAAAATTACAATGGTGCTATGCTGCTATAACACATTTCTACACTAAACAGAAAGGAAGGTAATATAGAAAATATCAGAAATAGAGCACAACAATGATGAGAACTATCTTGAATGCATTTGGGTCAATATTAAAGGTTATGGGGGGAGGGGGATGACATTGCCATAGGTCTATACTACAGGCCACCCAACCAAGCAGAGGAACTAGATGAACTTTTTGCTAGTCAGCTAACTAAGGTATGTAGAAAGCACACCACAATAGTAGTGGGAGATTTAAACTACCCTGACATCAACTGGGAAACAAACTCTGCACCAAGTGGAAAATCTAACAAGTTCCTAACAAACCTAGCAGACAACTTTGTTTCCCAAAAAGTAGAGAAGGGAATAAGCCATTTGGACTTAATTCTCACTAACAGAGAGGAAATGATAAAAGGTGTTGAAGCCACAGGAACTCTGGGCGCAAGTGACCATGCTAT